ATGTAGGCTTCAAACCAAGTTTTGTTCTGTTTTTCGAATTAAACTTTCAAGTTAGTGTGAGTGTTCATCTTTTAAGCTTAGCTTGCTTTTTTTATCTAGTGGGTTTATGGGAAAATTGGTTTCCTTCTCTCTGTTTTTCTTTCCCATGAATGATGTTTATTTTGGAAATTATAACTCAGATATCTGTACACAAACATATGAACCAAACAAATTTCATGCAATCTTCTGTTAAAAGATAAATATTAAGATAGTTGGCTAGTTTAAGTTACTTGTAAGAGAATATCTTAGTTTTGTTACACACATTATCTAAAGCCTCATCAAGTCGTTCCGACAATAACGTTACAGTTCAGCATGTCAAATGATGTTACATGAGATTCTTTAGAGGAAACGGTGACAATAACGTCCTGACAATAATGACTCGACAAAGTTAAGACGATCTCCATCACGGATTATTGATTGGATTATTGGTTGGCGAGTTGAGTTGCCTTTGTTGGAGTATTGAGTTTAGTTACTAACGAGCAAATTAACATCCATACCACCAAAGAAGAGAAAGAATGTGGGGAAGGTGGGACTGAGTTCCGAGACACAACTTGTCTCGGCTACCACCGATGAACTTACTCGAGAGCTTCCACCAATGGAAAAATCGGACTTCTCTAATGTCGTGCCTTTCAAGATTTTAAGCGGCATCGAGTGTCTCATCTGTGAACTTCTCCAAGCATCGCGGGTTTTGCCTCCAATGGTGTTGGATTTCGAGCTCTACTTGGAGCTTGAGACCAATGAAGATGTCAAGAAGTACCTTTGAGTTCTTCAATTTGAAAAATATTCAAAGATGAAGTACAATGCATAAACTAACTTGACATTGGAGTTCTTTACTGGAAGGAAAAATTGGTTTTGTAACGATATAACGATTTTATTTTTCGTAAGTAGAATACTTAAAAAATTCTCAAAACCTTTTTAAGGTAAATGAGAAATTAATTCTAAGTGTTATATTTTAATTAATTGAGTTTAAATAACTCAAAAGGTTGTAGGATTCACAAACATTATATTATAATAAATGTTTGGACAAAATAAACGAGTCATAAGTATGCATTATGTTTGCTAGAATTGTAGAGGGGCTCGTTGGGGACAGGTAGGAAAAAACGGAATTCGATTCCAAGTCCGTATGAGCTCGTACGAGCCTGCGGCCCGGGCGCGCAACTGGCTGCGGAAATCAAAGGGTCACAACCCTTGGTGACCATAAGGTATCTTTCGGCCACTAGATGCATCCGTTCTTATTCAGGCACGTCCCAAATGTGTCTTTTGACACTTAAACCTCTTGGAGGTGTCTCCCTATGTTCGCAAAATATTTTCACTACCCGCAAGTGTACGGTGTAGCTGTAGAAAGCGGCGAGCAAGGTCGTATCCCACAGAGATTAATGTTAAAATAATTAAGTATCAAAATATAGACGATCAAATATTATTTAGACTAACTTGAATTTGAATGGTGATTCTATTCTAAACAAAAGAATGATTGCAAAATAAATTCTAAAACTAAAGAAAGCTTGTTCTAAATAAATCAAGTATGAGAAAATAGATTCTAGGCTATGCTTTCCTCGGGTTTATTCTAGCGAAGTTTCTATTCATTCAAACCTTTTAATTCTACCAATCGTAAGGATAATCGCTAAAGTAATTTACACCTTTCTCTCGAACAAGTTAAATCGTAGATATTAATTGTTATCTATCTCCTCTCGGTCTCAAGATGAACAACTAACTCCCATAAGCTCCTAAGATTCTAGTTCCCTCGCAAGATTCTATCAACCTCTCGGTCTGTTTAGTCTCTTATGTTATGAATTTCTCAATTCTAGCAATCAACTATCTCCTCTCTGTCTCAAGCCAATCACAAATATGCATAAATACGGGCCCTATATTCACACAATTCATATAATCACAAGAAATTGATAAACGAAAGATAGACCGGAATGAATAAACAAAATCACTTCATAAAATAATCCGAGTACTCGCAAATCCTAGAATCTCAAAGAGATTGAGCTACTAAACATATTCTCAATACTCACAATAAACAAATTCATGAGTTCAATAAAGAAGAAAAAGAGAAAAGAAAGAAGAACTATTGTTGTCGTTAGTTCCTGGATCTTCAATCTTGACTCCCTCGAATCCCTCGTGTGTTTCGTGCTTTCTCTAGGCCTCCAATGGTGTTCAAAATCCCAAAACCGTGTTCTTTTTGTTCCTTATATACTGTAGGGCAGTTATGGGTCGAAAAAGAGATCAAAATCGCGTAGGTTTCCTATTTTTCGCTGGTTTAACTGCGCGTCACACGACTCGTGTCACATGCCACACGAGTCGTGTGACATTCCTCAAATTTTTGCCCCGCTCCCAGACTCACACGGTCAACCTACACGAGAC